ACTTTGTCCTTTAGGAGCTCTGGTAGCATAGTGCCAAACGGCACTTGACTGCTAACCAGAAGGCTGGTGGTTCAAACCCACCAGCCACTCTCCAGAAGGAAGGTTGGGCAATCTACTTCCATAGTGATACGACCTCAAAAACCCAAGGAGGGGTCGCTATGAGTCAGGTCTGACTCGACAGCATATAACAACAACAACAACAAGTTTGTCCTTTTTCAACAAGAAGCCTCTCCACTAAGTTCTTTTAATATTGGTAGAATTGCCTTTATACATAATTAGCAGGCATTCAGTAATACATTATCTATAAAATTGTTATAGGTTAAAAAAATTTTCTCTGTAGGAAGAAGATACAATGAAAGATCTATAAAGTATACATATATTAAGGAGCATTTTGAATACAATGCTCAAAATTATTGGTTGTCAATGAGAAAAGAAAAATGTGCAGAGAAAGTTAGGGGGTAATTAAAGCAAGTAATGATAGTATTTAAAGGCATGTTGAAGCTTTGTGGGTGCATATGTGCTTAGGTGTTCATTGGGTTCACTCTAAATTCTCTTTAAGTATTAACAGTTATTTTCTCACATCTTTATATGTATGAAAAGTCCTAAAGACAGGTACTTTTGCCATAGATGTTGATTTATAAAAATCAGGATATTTAAATATAAAAGAAAAATATTTGATCCTTTTATATAATTTAACCTTAAATCATTTATATAGACAAGAGCATGCATTAATAGGTAAGATCTCTTTGAACTTTAGTTTCTCTTTAATCTTCAAATTAGATTTTAAAGAATGAAATATTAGGATTTCCATCAATAAATTTAAATTGAAATGGATTCATTTGAACTAATGGCTGAGTAAAATGGTGACATTCCCATATTAAACATGATGATTTGGTATATTATATTACACATTTTCATTTATTTCAGAGAGAGTAGAATTTTTATGGGCTATAATTCAGAAAAAAATGTGAGTTGACATCATAGAACTATTCTCCATAAAAAAAAAAAAAGAAAGGAAATGTATCTGATATTGTTTTCTTTTGGTTTTCTTGTGGAACACTTGGTAAAATATTCTTAATGCTTTGCACATTGTTCTTTAGTTTCAGATCAAATTCTCAAGAGCAACCTCACAGCAATGGAAAAACAAATCATTCATCTGGAACGTGACATCAAGAAATTCCCTCAAACAGAAAATCAACATGATAAGTTTGTGGAAAAGATGACAATATCCTTTATTTATTTGAACATTTTGCTTATTTGTTAGTTTGTGGGTCTATTAATTTGCTAATTAACTATGTGGTTAGTTCTAGATTACCAATCCATTCACACCATCTGGAGGCACTTGTGCATGTGTCATTTTATATTAGTGGTATAAATTTTATTTCATGATGTTTTGAAGTAGATAGAGTAGGCAAAGGAGGAAGTATATAAGAAAAATGCCATTTCTCAAAATTCTTTTTGCAGACCAACAAGACATGAAAGGTAAGTCTTAAAAGCTCAATTTGACCTAAAACAAAACAAAGAATTGTCTTATGTAACGAAATGTTTAAAGGAAATGATCAGTAGAAGATGTTTATTTATCTGAATTTATTTTCTCTTTGTGTGTGCATGCGTTTTCCAAGGGCACGCATTTGTCTTCAAGGGTAATCAAGGGACTAATATTAATAGATTGAAAGGATTGTGAAGGATAAATTGTTGGATGAATGGATGGATGGATGAATTGATTGGTAGAGGATATATTTAAATAAATTGATGTGGACATCTATATAACATTAAGCAATTCTTGCTAAATAAATTCTTTAGAAACCCATTTTACATGTAGTATGTTCATACAACTTATAAAAATAAATAAAGAGAGAACTTGAGAAATGCCATGTAGCTTGAATTGTTTAATGTTAAATCTGGTATCTAAAGATAAACTACAGTAGAACTGACTTTTATTTTCTATTTTGGTTTTCAGAAGTTAAAGCCATATTATCATCCTCCTCTGGGTTTAAATACATATCTTGAACTGCAGATTGATTCACCATTTTATATCTCTAGAGGGAATAAATACTATAAATTCTTGATCTGATAATAAGTAAATTCCTTCAACAACTATATGGCAGTCACCTTGTTTCAAGGTTAAACCTACTGCCTTTTTCTGCTTTGATATACTTCTTTTATGGCCAAACTTGGAGTTCATGCAACTGAACTGGAATTACATGAGAATGGCAATTTAGATTTATGTAACATTTGATTTTTTCACTCTGGTTCCTTTGGTTCATCAATTAGCTCTGTGGTTCATGTGTTCCTTTAGTGATGATGAGTACTTTCATAAATAGGAATATTGGGAACTCATGTTTGAGGGTGATTGGAGGGAAGAAATCCTCAAAAATAATCTTGGGTTGCATAACTGCCCACACTGGGATAGTTAATGTGAAGGTTCCACTTTATTGTTGATTAGATTTTTTCTTTCAAGTATGTTATATTGTCCTGCAGCTGGAAACACATTTTTACCCTTTGATTTTGGTTCTTGCCTCATATATTTGAATTTAATTTCTTATCCTCTTGTTCGTTTTAACATTTTCTTCTAAAGTTGGCATATAGCCATACAACAGCTTGCAACATTGAGGACTCTTTGTTGCTCATTTAGAAAAAGAAAAGTAATTTCAAACCTTCATGAACTTGGCCTGGACTCCTTATTTTATTTCTCTCTTTATGCAGGTAATTAAGGCACTTTAAAATGAAAATCCAGAGCCTTCTGTATCTGTATGTTACAGACGAATGGTTATTGTTCATTTAAGTGGCAGTAAAGTGTGACTATTTGTCCACAAGGGGATTGATACTATATTAAAATGTATGGGGCTCTTACTTTGCATATCATAATTTTTAAAAATACAGCAAATTATTTCATGGGAAAAGTTAAAATACTGAGTTGAGTTGGCTAAAAAGTACAAATTAATGAACTGTAATGATAAAACAGTTGCCCAAGTTATTCTGGCTTTGGTAAATGCCCTGAGCAGCTATTGAAAATTTCAGTCTTCTGGGAATAAACCAAAACCAAACTCACTGCCATCAGGTCAATTTGACTCATAGCGACCCCTTCTTGGGTTTCCAAGGCGGTGTCTCTATGGAAGTAGATTGCCCAATCTTCCTCCCGAGGCGTGGCTGGTGGGTTTGAACCGCCAGCCTTCTGGTTAGCAGACAAATGCCTTAGACACTATGACACCAGAGCTCTCTTCTAGGAATAGACAAAATTCATAATCATCATATGGATATAGGTTATATGAGTCTGGTGCATAGTTCATCGTTTTTCTACTTTTGTGGTAATTCCAGGAGAGAACAATATTTTATGTGGGATAAGTGATCATGTTTTAAAATTAGAACCATGATTTTATTTCTAATATTGGATTCTTCATATTGATTAATCTTTCCAATGTTTCTGTCCTCTGCCAATAAATTGTTTTGCTTCAGGTCACTGGCCCTTTAAATTGAATAACTACATGCATGGATACAAAAGTAGTTTCCCTTAAAGCATGATAACTTTACCTGTTTAAATAGTAATCTATCTCTAAGGATTCTGAGTTAAAAAAGGAAGAGTACTGCCAGTCCTCTGGACTTTCAGAACAACAGTGGTGCTATAGTTAATCCTAATGCCATGACAGCCACAGAACTAAACATGCAGGTTAAATCTTCATCAAATCTCCAGGTTGGGCTAAGTCCCATAGCATCGTATGTTCAATCTTAAATTTTAACAATAATCTTTGGACACATACTGTGTGATAGGCAATATCAGGCCATGGAAATACAATAGTGTACGTGATAGAAAACTTGACCTCAAGATACTGACATTTACACATTCTGCCAGTAGCAGAAGCCGTGTCTGGTTTGTTCATTACTGTACTATACTCATTACAACACCTACCACCTAGCAGCACAATGTAGGCACTCAGTAAATGTGCATCAAATCACAGATTCTTATAGCTAAGGGCCTTGAAGGTCATCTAGTCCAAGCCCGTATTTTTACTTAGTACTTTGAAAAGGATATTGCCGAATAGTAGTAAGCTGTGTTTAGCGTTATAAAAATATTCTTGTAAAATATAATCAGTTTAGGAAAGGATGAGCCATACTTTTTAAAGTAAATGTCAAAATATTGACCACCCCCACCCTGCCAAGACAAAAAAAAACTGTTCAATGGCTTTCAATGGAAGCTCATTATCTCTGCGTCTCTCTCCCTATCCAAAATTTGCTGCTTGTTCTAGACTCAGAAAAAATAGATGGAGAACATGAAGCAAGCAAAACTAATTTTAAATAACTACAAGAGAGGTAGAAATGGGGAAAGTTATCTCATGAATCATAGGAGGGAGGTTCTAGGATCAAAGAGGATGGTGCATAATTGATATAGTAGCATTATGTATATTGAAAAACACATTATTCAAATATCTAAATAACCTGGTGGGGAAATTATTGCTGTTATGTTGATTTTTTAAAAAAGGAAAGTACTTATTCTTCAAGCTAATATATTCATCATAATAACAGTACTGGAAATTTTAGTTCAATTATTTGTACAATGAATTGAACCTAGTTTATAGTAAATAAAATGACACAATTTTCTCTCATCTATTCAATGTGTACTGTGTCAAGGACTACCCAATTTTATATACTTTTGCTTATTAAAAACTTTCCCATTCATTAAATGAGGAGTATTTTCCATATCTAATGATAAAATTGACCACAGTTTTCCTTGTGTCATTGTAGTGAGCTAGAGTCATGTCAGAATAATTAACTCATAAGGTCAACTTGCCATAGTATTGTTCTTAAGTCATTCATTTTTAAAGGCCACTTCTTTTTATCTTTTAAGATTACTGGGAACTATGTACTCTGTTTGTTTGGCACCTATTTTGAATAGGTGGGATTATGTTCAGAACCACTTCCCATTTTCAAGTTTTAAAAAATAGCCTGTGCTTAAGAGAGCTAAGATGTAGCTCTTTGAATAGACTGCTTGCCAGTCATTTGGGCTGTTATCTTTAACTTATGTATTCCTCGCTTTGCAAAGTTCTTCCTGAACAGTATTGTAGCAGGAAGAGAGTTTTTCTTTTTTTAAAATCAAAACATCACTTTTACTTACTGCTCCTTGCTTTTTCCAACAGGAAAGAAGACCGTTCTTAAAAGAGGGCTTCTCAGATTTTTAATTATGTGGTCTGGCCCATTCTTAGCATTTTAAACTGTCTTAAAAGTACATTAACTACAATGTTGACCTTACTGTTGCCATCCTGTTGACAAATTTCTTACTACATTTACTCACATAGATTTTGTCAATGGCAGGGTTGTCTGTTGCCTGAAATCAGTTTAGCTCTTTGATTGACTGCTGGCTAAATCATTTCACCAACTGGAGGACAGGGAGTGACTGAGCAGCAGGGGCACCATTAGCACATTGACAGGAAGTGCTGAAAGAATGTTAATGACATTAACACCCTGTCAATTATCAACACCTGGGATTTCCTCATAGTATGAGAATCATATGAAGTGTTTAGAAATCAAGTTACTGACTAATCACATTTTCCTTTCCAGAAAATTCAAGACAGATGTTAAGTCTCTACTTAAATTATGTTAATTTTTCATTCCCCTATCCTTTATTGGGAGAATAATTTTAAAATAGATACAAAAACAATTATTCAACCACAAGTGACATTAGATCACCTTTAAGAATATACCAGTAGCAGGTTGTAGATGGATGATAATCCACACTTCTAAAAGTAAATGTCACATAAAATTAACTATAAAATTAAAAAAAAAGAGTAAAAAAATATCTTTTGGGGGAGTGTTATGAATGAAGTTTATAGCGATCCTGTGTACAACAGAACAAAACACTTCCCAGTCATATGTCATCCTCACTGTTGTTGCTATGTTTAAATTCATTGTTGTAGCCACTGTGTCAGTCCATCTTGCTGAGTGTCTTCCTCTTTTTTCCTGGCTCTCTAGTTTACCAAGCATGATGTCCTTCTCCAGGGGGTGGTCCCTTCTGATAACATGACCAAAGTACGTGAGATGGAGTCTATCTATTCTCACTTCTGAAGAGCATTCTGGCTGTACTTCTTCCAAAACATATTTGTTCATTCTTCTAGCAGTCCATGGTATATTGAATACTCTTTGGCAACACCATAATTCAAAGACATCAACTCTTCTTTGCTCTTTCTTATTCATTGCCCAGCTTTTACAAACATACAAAGTCATTAAAATCCT